CATCCAAGAAAATTTGGTAGCTTTATAGTCATATTAACAGTATTATTACTTAAAATTATTTTATTTTTATGTGTATGAATGTTTTGTCTGCATGTAAGTGCATCCCATGCATGTAATTCCTGAAGAGGCCAGAAGAGGGCACTGAATCCTCTGGAATTGTAATTACAGATTTTTTTTAGCCATCATGTGGGTGTTAGGAACTGAATCCAGGTCCTCTGGAAGAGCACCTAGTTCTCTTAACCACTGAGCCAGCTCTCCAGCCCCTATTATTACTTTTTTTGAGAGAGGGTCTCATGTAGCCCAGGATGACCTTGAATTCAGTATGTAGCTGAGATGTCCTTGAACTTCTGATTCTCCTGCCTCCACCTCCAAAGCACTAGGACTTATTACAGGAGTGTGCTATCATGCCTGATTTATGTGGTCATGGAACAAACCCAGGGCCTTGTGCATGCTAGGCAAGCACTCTACTAGCTGAACTCCATCTCTAGCCCACTACTGTTATTATTCATCATTATTAATAGGCTGAATAACTGCAGTTACTATTGATTACTTACTAGGTGTCTGATCCTGTATTAAATTTAAATTTCATCTAATTCTCGTAACAATCCTGTGAGAATATGAGTTATGGAAACTGGGGCATAATGCTCATGAGTGCCATGCTGAAGATCATAAGGCAGAAGCAGGCCTGAATCTACAGCCTTACCCCATGTGCCCTATTTTCTACAGCAGTTACATGTCAATGAGCCATATCAAGTACTCTATAGAGAAGCTCCATATAGAACACGACAGAGCAAGTCAGAGTGTTCTTCTCCCTCCAAAGTTGCCAAGTGAATTAATTTGCAATAAGAGGATAGCATATTGCTTTAATAAGGTCGAACATCTTTCATTTACTTACTGGTTATTTCTTCTGGGAAGTATTTCAGCATTTTTTTTTTTTTTTTTTTTTTTTTTTTTTTTTTTTTTGATAGGGTCTCCCTGTAGTCCCAGCTGACCTGAACTCACTATGTAGTCCAGGCTGGCCTTGAACTCACAGAGATCCGCCTGCCTTCGCCTCCCAAGTGCTGGTACTAAAGGACTGGAACTCACTATGTAGACCAGGCTGGCCTTGACCTCACAGAGATCCGCCTGCCTCTGCCTCCCAAGTGCTGGGATCAAAGGCGTGCACCACCATGCCTGGCCAGCATATTGTTTTTTTTTTCAGTACTGAAGACTGAACCTAGGCAAGTTTGCTACTACTGAGCTCCCCAGCTCCCATGCCTTTTTAAAAAGTTTGAGGCAGGGGCTCACCATGTTGTTGTGGCAGGCCTTGAGCTCTTGATACATATGCCTTAGTCTTAACATCCACAAAGCAACAAGAAAAATAAACAATAGTAAAATGGGTCAACGTTATAAACAGTTCAAATAAGAAAATAAAATGGCCAAACATGAGAGATTTGCAACTTTAATAGTAACAACAATAAAAAATTGCCAAGACATGGACCTCTGTAAGATTGAGGCCAATCTGGTCTACATAGCGAGTTTCAGGTCAGCTGTGGCTACAGGGAGACCCTGACTCAAAAAGCCAAAAAAAATCGCCAAGACACAGGGCTCACTGTCTTATCACCATAGACATCAACTCGTTTCTTGTCACAATAGCCCATAAGAGAGGCACTATCATTAGCTAGCCTCATTTTATACCTAAGGAAATTGAGGCAAACATTTAGAGAAACTGCTCAGGTACACAAGACTAGAAATCTGATGCAGGTAATGTACTATAGCCCTTAACTACTATATATTCTCTCTCCAGGGAGCTAGGGATGCAGGAATGCAAATGAAAACAAGGTATCATTTGCTTTTCAAATAAAATAAAAATCCTCCCCCCCCAAAAAAAAAGCCAGTGTGGAGAACGAGGCACTATCAAATGTTGGTAGGGGAAAATAATGGTGCTTTCTTTTTGTAGTGATAAGTGACAGAAACAAATACTCTGAAGGAAGTCCAGAACAAACATTTACCTGACAAAAGATGGACAGTGATCAAGTAGTTTCTTCCTAATTCTCTCTCTCTCAGATTTACTTTTAGAGTCCCCTGGAGCTGGAGGTACAGGTGGTTGTTAGCCGCCCGACATAGGTGCTGGGAAGTAAGCTACGGCCTTCTGGAAGAACAGGAAATGTTCTTGACTACTGAGCCATCTCTCTAGCCCCTTCCATGCTCTCTTAATCTTCAGATGCCAATAAAGGATACTAGAAGATGAGCACTCCATTGCTCCCACGCTAACTTCTATATGGAAGAAGTTAATCAGCTCAGGTCAAACTTTCCCTGAAAACACCTTCTGATGTACTAATATCATTACTGAAGTGGTTAATTCGCCCTCCTAGTAAGCGGACACATGTTGTTTTATAGTCTTTTCCATATTTGCTCTTTAGCCTCTTTCTCAACAGGTTCAAGAATCAAGAGTGAAGGTGACAAGGTCAAAGGTTTTCTGTTGTATTCATCTGTTTCAAACATTGTGTTCAGTAATGTTAATTATAATCAGACAAAATGCTGCCTCTGAAATTTCTTAATTCCCCATAGTCTTTGGTTTATTGTTCACAGTACATATGGTTTTTTAAAAAATTTATGTGTTAAGAGTGTTTGCCTGTATGTATACATGTGTAACGCATGCATGCATGCCTGATGCCCACAGAAGCACAGAAGAGGGTGTCAGAACCCTTGGAACTAGCAATATGGACAGTTGTGAGCCACCTGACATGATTGCTGGGGACTGAACTCAGGTCTTCTGGAGAAACAGTGAGCACTCTTAACCTCTGAACCATCTCTCCAGCCCCACCACTCACATTAACAATATAAATTATTCTAGAGAAAACTAAAGGCCACACCATTGCTTTTTTAACATTTCAGTCTTACCTGCCTATGGGATCCCTTATAAAGACAAACAGAAAAGTACATGGAGCTGTAAGAATGCTACTAAACTTCACTATCGATGATGAAAGTGTATCATGAATGGCAGTATGCAAAGATGATACAGTCTTCAGTTTTTAAAAAACACAGCAGGGCCATGCATAGTGGTGCAGTTCTTTAATCCCAGCACTCAGCTCTCTGTGTTTGAGGATAGCCTGGTCTACATAGTGAGTTCCAGGCCAGCTGGGACTACCGCGAGACTCTGTCTCAACAAAACAAAACAAAACAGAAAACCCATAGCGAGGGGCAACTCATCTTCCAGTTCCTTCCTAGCTGCAGATGTTTCTTTACTTCTCAATAAACTTTGCTTGTTTGCCCCCCAAAAAAAATAAAATAAAATTAATAAATAAATAAATAATCAAGCAGGGCAGGTCCATTTCCATTTGGAGAATCTCATTTGTGTACCCCAAACTTCCTGTCCTGTTTTCTCCCCTGGTGATCAGGATAGAGTCCAAGACCTCACAAATGCAAGTGCTCTCTTGAGCTACACCACCAGCCCCTATACCTTTTTTCCCCATCATGAGTTTTTTTTTTATTGTGGTTTGTTTTGAGACAGGATCTCACTCTGTAACCTAGGCTGGCTGGTCTGGAACTCATTTTATAGCCTAGACTGGTCTTGAACTCATGACAATTTCCTCCCTTGGCCACCAAATGCTGGGATTACGAGCATGAGCTATCACATCTGACTATGTGTTCTAAAATTTACTATCACCCTGGTTTCCAACTGCAGCAAAGCAATGAAAAATTGCAGAGGTGAAAAGGACATTGTGAAGATGCAACAGGTTGCTTAGAGAACAGTACTTTACTAAACCTCCAGGGTCAAGCTCTGTAAGTGATGACTCCATTTCACTGAGAGAACTTAACACTCCATACTCTATAGAAGGATGCAAGCAGAGATTAAGGCTGGCAGAACACAAACTTGGAATACCCTGCACCTGCATCTTATGGTGACAAACACTCCATCAAAGCACAAAGCATCCTCACTACATTGAAAAGTTGCAAAACTGGCCCAACAACAGGCGGGAGGCAATGATTTTTCTTCCTCCTCCTTCCCCCTTTCTTCCTATTTTTGAGGCAGGGTCTCCTGTAGCCCAGGCTGGCCTCCAACTCCCTTATGTAGCTGAGGATGATGTGAAGTCATGATCCTCCTGCCTTCATCTCCCAAGTGTTGGGATTCAGGCATTGGACATCAAGTCCAGCAGAGGCAATGATTTATTCTACTATATATTTCCTACGGTGTCTTCAACACAAACAAATAATTGCTGGACAGCTCCACTATAATTAGGTGCTACCACACCAACACCAAGGAACAGCGATACCTTTGTCAGGTCGGTTCAAAACTAAAGTACCTCAAGGCATCGCACATACATGCTCATGGTTCTCATCTTCCTAGACAGAAGAGAACTGAGAAGTTGAGGAAAGAAGGGAACATGGAAAGCTCCAAAAAAGAGTTATGATGGGGTCGATGTGGGACTTCTCTTTCCCCACTAACTCCAGTCCTGGAAGAAGCCACAAGTGAGGAAGAGAAGTTAACAGGACGGGGTGTGTGTGTGTGGGAGGGTGAGGGGAGTGGGGTGGAGTCCCTGGGAGCATCCGCATATATCTCACTCGAGGTCACTCGCTCAGAGTCGCTTTCCCTTGCTCCCCCGTGGGCTTCCCGCCAAAGATGCTCGCAGGTAGGCTGGGAGGCCAGCACACCGCGCCCCCTCAGCCCTAGCGCGCGGGCCGCATCCCCCTGCTGGCCTCCGGCCAGGGCCGGATCTCGAGCCCCTGCCGACCTCCGGGACACCGGCTTAGGAGGCCAACGACTCTCACCGCCTGGTCCTGGGCTCCTCCGCCTCCACCCCCCGAGGCTCCGCCAATGTCCCCTTCCCCCCTCAGGGCGCCCTGTGCCCGTCTCCCTACCTCGGTCCCGCCCGGGCCGCGGCGCGCCTCTCCCTAACCCCTCTCGTCACCCTTCTTCCCGGGTGCCCACCGGGCGCCCCGGCCACAGGCCCCGCTCCGCACCGAGCCACCGTCTCCTCCGAGTCCTCCCGGCCCCGCCCCTGCTCCCGGGCGGATACAGTTTGAAGCCTCTCAGGATATCCCTGGCCCGCTCGTCCTTGGCTGACATGATGCGGCGGCCGCCGCCTGCGGCTCTCCCACGCTGGCTCGGCGGGGCCTCGCAGACGGTGCCCGGGAAACGAGGACCAAGCCGCAGTCCGGCCAGGACACCTCCGGCGAGTAGCGGCGACGGCCAGACCCGAACCGGCCTCTCCCTCCTCTCAGCTCCCGCTCCTGATCCCTTCTCCTTCCCTCTAGCCGCGGAGCACCAGCCTTCAAGCCAATGGCAAGCCAGCCTCGGAGATTGGTATCCCGAACAGCCAATAGAAACGCTTAGCGGCTTCGCTGGAGGCTGGAGAGCGTCAGTGGGAAAGGCCCGCCCCAAGAAGTCCTATAGGACAGGATTTGCATTCGTGTTGTTGCCTAGAGTTTGCCCCAGCGGAGAGGTGGCCTGAAATCCTCCAAGGCTCGAAGGGTGCTTTAGCTGTCTGAGAGCGCGGCTGGTTGCGCTGGGCGAAGTGGCGGAAACTACATTTCCCAGCATCCGAGGAGGCCTGGGCGACCACAAATCCCAGCACACCACCAGAGGCCAAGGACTACAAGTCCCAGCAGTCCTTGCGCTCGGTCTCTAACTTAGACACGAGTGTGCCGCGCACTGTGCGCCAATTCAGACCCGGTCTGCGGGGTTGGTTTCTGAATGCAGAGACTTGAAACCAGGCGGTAAGGTCCCCTTTCACCCTGAAGAGATGACAGCCCACCGAGAGTCAACTTCTGTTTACATGGAACTCAGAAGTCTCCTGCGAACCCTGGTAAGACTGCAAACAATTAACAAAAACACTGATTAAACCATGAAAGAACACAGCGACTTCCTCAAACCCTGCTCGTTTGTTAGCCTGGGGCGCATTTTACGTGTTTTGCAGGGTTTCTATTGTGTTCTTAGTTGGACTTGGGGAGCTATCGATTGTAAACTCTCTGTCAGTTCAGAAAGAGACTTCAAAGAATTTGCTAATCCGATCTATTTTTTTTTCTTTTCTTTTTAAATATGAGGAAATTGAGGCCCAAAGAGGCAAAGAGGTTGGCCACAGATCACAGCAAGTTGATAGACTTAGAATTTGGCGTTATATATACTGACCTGCAGTCTAGTCTCGTCTCACTACACTAGGGACAGGATATTTTTAGCAGCATGACAATGTGATTGTTTTTCTCCTTGATGAAGTTTTCTCAGCTAGGGTCGAAACTCTCAGAGGATAGGTAAGCATTTATTTGGTGGATTTCCTGCAAGTGAGAAGGGTTATAGTTGCTTATCCTCAATCTAGCCAGGTCTTGGTGTTTTGACTTGTTTTTTTCTTTGTCACTCAAGGTGACATTTAATGTGATTTTCAGAAAGTAGGCAAGATTGGTTTAACCCACCTATGCCCTTTCCTAGGCTTTCTTGTTGCCGCCCCAACTTCTACCCATCAGATCACCCACCCATTTTTTTTTTTCTTTCGTGTAATTCAGCAAACATTTTCATCTTTTGCCAGTTACTGAGTTAGGTGAAAGATATGATCACTAATATTTGGAAGATAACTGTTTAGGGAGATAAGATTCAAGCTGGAGTTGATAAATGGCATTTTAAAAAAGACACCAAGGGCTCAAGAGAGGAGAGATAGCTCAGCAGTTAACGGTTAAGAGCACTGGCTGATGTTGCAGATCACCTAGGTTCTGTACCCAGTACCCACATGGCAACTAACAACCTTCTGGAACTCCAGTTCCAGGGGATCTGATGCCTTCTGGCCTCCATGAGCATTGCACACATGGGTGCACTTACATAGATGCAGGCAAAATACTCAAACATATAAAAATAAATAAAACATATTTAAAAAGATAAATGGATCACTTCTTGGCCTTTGGGCTAAGATCAAGTGTAGAATGCCATGGTCCTGATTTATAGTCGCTGGCAAAAGTTTATGGAGGAAATAGCATTTCAACTTGAACGATAAGTCTCATTTTTTTCTTTCTATGTTAATAAGTTTTTATCCTTGATTGTCTTTGTTACAGAGGTATATTATGCATGTGGTGAGAGGCCAATTCAAGTTTACACCCATCACTACCACCCAAATCAAGATAGAGCACATTTCCAGCCCTCGTTATGCCCATTCCCAATCAGTACTGAATCCTCACATCTGACCACTCTTCTGATTTTATGGCAATCAATGTTTTGTCTGTACTTGAATTTCATTTAAATGTATTTATAGAATGTGCATAGTATATGCCTAGCTTTTTTGTTCATCTATTTTCATATTTGTACATTTTTTTTCAGTTGGCAAATGTATTCTGTTGTGTGTATATGTATATGCCACACAATTCATCCCTTCTAAAGTTGGTGGGCATCTGGGTTTTATCATAACATAGACACATTCTTTTTTTTTTTGAGACGGTCCCCCTGTAACCTCAGCTGGTCTGGAACTCACTATGTAGACCATGCTAGCCTCAAACTCACAGAAATCCACCTGCCTCTGCCTCCCAAGTGCTGGGATTAAAGGCATGTGACACCATGCCCAGCTTTTTTTTTTTGGTCTTTTTGAGACAGCGGTTCCCTGTAGCCTCAGCTGTCCTGGAACTCACTATGTAGACCAGGCTGGCCTTGAACTCACAAAGATCCGCCTGCCTCTGCTTCCCAAGTGCTGGGCTTAAAGGCTTGTGCCACCATGCCTGGCTCATAACAGACCCATTCTTAAATGAGCATTCTTAAATGCTGTTTTTTGTGGGCCTGTTGCACAGACTTTAGGAAAGAAATGGTTACCCTTAGAGTATGCATATGACCTGTGATAGAAGATATTGCCAGTTTTCCAAAGTGATTGTAGACTTTAGGCCTTTGCACGATGTGTTGCTGCTCATCCTTGTTATTGCTGGGTGTTTGTCATCAGTCTTTTTGATTTTAGCCATTTTGGATACATGTGGTATTTTATTATTTAGAATTGTCTGATGTTGATCCCCTTTTCATATGCTAATCAGTGATTTCAGTGTGTTCTTGTCAAGTGCCTATTTAAGTGTTTTGCCCAGTTTTTAAAATTAGGCATTTATTTCGTTTTATTTTATTATAAAAATTATTTTTGTATATTTGTTGAATTTTTGTGGATTTCATACAATACATTTTAACCATATTTAGACCTGCACCTCCCCATATAATGCCCATGGGATTTCACACATTCTGTCTTAAATGCTAAAGCCTATGGAGTCAAGTTTGTGTATCCAGCTTTTTCTTGGTGTGAGTTCATCCCCTGAAGTCTGTTCAGCCTATCCAGCATTTACTCCTTTAAAGAATATTAACTCTCCCTCACTCAGTAGTGATCAGCTTCCAATAGTTCCTCAACTAAGATTGGGGCCTCCTGCCCATTTCCCCAGTTCTATGCTATTTTTTTATCTGATTGAGTCTTCATGGGTCTTGTGGATGCTGTCACTATTGTAAGTTCATAAGAGCAAGTTCCCAGGAGCCTGTAAGACTCAGTTTCCTTATTGTCATGCACCACCCCTGGCTCTTAAAATCTTTCTGCCTCCTCTTCTGCAATGGTCCCTGAGCCATGGGTGAGTGAGGTTTAATATAGGAGTCCTATCCAGGGATGCACACTCTGCAGTCTCTTATTCTCTACATCTTAGCCAGTCAGTTGTGGTCTTTTCTGTTTACCACACTCTGTTGAATGAGGAAGCTTCACTAGTGAGAGTTGACAGATGCATTAGTATTATCTCTACTCCTTGTTCCACTATGTTTTGTGAGTCTTAGGTATACAGTTCCCATTGTTGATGTGTGTATATGACCAGTTCTGAAACTCTGTACTAGACTCTAACTCTTGCAAAAGATGTTATAAAAATGGCCTGGCGTGGTGGCGCACGCCTTTAATCCCAGCACGTGGGAGGCAGAAGCAGGCAGACCTCTGTGAGTTTGAGGCCAGCCTGGTCTGCATAGCGAGTTCCCTGTCAGCTGGGGCTACAGGGAGACCCTGTCTCAAAATGACAAATAAAAAAGGCATTTATTTATTTATCTTATTTACTTGTTACTGACTTGTGGTTCTTTATATAGTTTGAGTACAGACTTCTTCATCTGACATGTGCTTTACAAATGTCTTTTCCAAGGCTGTGGCTCATCTTTTCATCCTCTTATTGGTGTCTTGAATAGATATGCTCTCCTTTTTGCTGTTGTCTCAGTACTGGGGATCAAATGCAGGGCTTTGCTTGTGCTAGGCAAGTGCTTTGCCACTGACCTACACTCCTAGTTCAATTTTTTTTAAGACAAGGTCTCTCTGTAGGCACAGGTGGCCTAGAACTTACTATGTAGATCAGGCTGGCCTTGAACTCACAGAGATCTGCCTGCGTCTACCTCCCAAGTCCTGGAACTAAAGGCTTGTGCCACCACACTTGGCCAGATTTTTTTCGAAGAAAGAAAAATGTATTGTGTACACTGCAAGGGAGCAGCTGACTGAGCAGTAACTAAAGTACTGCCTACAACAAAAACTTCTAATGTAATGTAATGTAATGTAATGTAATGTAATAGTTTAGTGTTTTCTTTTGTAGAATGCCCTTGCATTGAAATTAAGACTTTTTTTTTTTTATCTTTTTGAGACAGGGTCTCTCTGTAGCCCCAGCTGTCCTGGAACTCACTATGTAGACCAGGGTGGCCTTGAACTCACAGAGATCTGCCTGCCTCTGCCTCCTGAGTGCTGGGATCAAAGGTGTGTGCCACCACGCCCGGCCTGAAATTAAGACATTTTTGACCACAGGGGTCACAGAATTTTTACAGGAAAATATGAGAGAAGAACTTTGCAAAAAAGAAGAAAGAGAAAGCCTCAGCTTCTTCTAATCCTGCTGGACTCGGGAGGCTTAGTGACAGGGGTGGGTGAGACAAGATGGAAGGATTAGGAAGAGCGCACACTGGGAATGGTTTTAACTATAGCTATAGAGTCAGGACTATTCTGTAGAAAGCAGAAGCACTGCCAGAATATTTATGAACTCAAATTGCATTCAGTTCTCCTTACATCCTCAGAGCTTCCTCCTTTCCTGTGCTGCCCTGTGCACTTAGTAGCACCTCCAGGCAGCCCTAGTTTCTGCAGCCAGAAGCCCCAGTGTCCTCCTCCCCTTATCTTGCAGCTGGTCACTAAGTCTTTTAAATGTCTCCAACAGTGCTCCTTTTCTTTCTTTCTTTTATTTAAAAATATTTTATTATTTTTATGCATATGTACGTATTGCCTGCATGTATGTAAGTGCTCCTGGGTCATGCAATGCCTGCAGAGGACAGAAGAGGGCGTCAGATACCCTGGAACTGGAGTTATAGACAGTTGTTAGCCTCCATGTGGGTGCTGGGATTTGAATCCCTGGTCTTCTGGAAGAACAGTCAGTGTTCTTAACTGCCGAGCCATTGCTCCAGCCCCATGTGTTACTACTTTTTCATCTCCAACTGCTATAACTTTTGTTCAAGATCGCCCAGCCTCTAATCTAGAGTAAACCAGTCATGGGTTTCCTCGCCTTCAGTTCTCTGTGCATCCAATCTATTCCCATGGCACCTAGTGTGATCATTCCAAAGTGACAGTTATACTTTTTCTAAGCCTAAACCCTAAGCATACCCAGTGTCCTTAAGAGAAAATGAAATGAAAACTTTTGCATCTGGCTTATGCTCTTTGTGATTTGCTTGCTCAACCTCCCAGATTGTACTCAAGCCTCACCTCTTCCAGATGCTTTACCCTAAAACACCTTTCCCTTAGGCCACAGTCAGGATATCCTTACTGGATCCCCCAGGGTGCCTGTGGCTACCCCCCCCCCCAATATATCGATGTCCTCCCAGGAAGTGTGAGCTTTCCAAGGTGGAGACTTTGCTTTAGATTTGTGCTGATTATAGTTCGTGGCATGTGGATTCCCAGACTCCTTTTTTTTTTTTTTTTCCTTGAGACATGTTCTCCCTGTAGCCCCAATTGGCCTGGAACTCACTATGTAGACCAGTAGCCTCCATCTCACAGAGATCTGACTGCCTCTGCCTCCTGAGTGCATGTCTGACTAAAATTTATTTGATTTATTTTTATTTTGTGTATATGAGTGTTTTGCCTGCATACACCGCCTGTAGAGTCCAGAAGAGGGGGTTGGATCCCCTGGAACTGGAGTTATGGATTACTGTTAGCTGCTACATGGGTGCTGGGAACCAAATCCAGGTCCTCTGTAAGAGCAGCCATTACTCTTAACCACTGAGCCATCTCTCCAGACCTGCTTCCCAGACTCTTAATGACCTGTCTCTAGCACACTTCTCATTTCTCACACCTGAGCCCTGGGTTCCAGCCACTCAAGATTTTTTTTTTTTCTATCAGCGTATGTTGCACAGTGCAAGCCACTATATCTGCACCCCCCCTTTTTTTTGGTCCTTTTGAGACAGGATCTTCCTGTAGCCCCAGCTGGCCTGGGACTCTGTATGTAGACCAGGCTGGCCTTGAACTCACAGAGATCTGCCTGCTTCTACCTCCTGAGTGCTGGGATTAAAGCCACCACACCAGGCTTCTTCCCCCTCTTTTTTTTTTAAAATTTCATTTATTATTTTTATTTTATGTGTGTGCATGTATTGCCTGCATGTAGGTAAGTGCACCTGTGTTGTGCAATGCTCAGAAGAGGGCTTCAGATTCCCCTGGAACTGGAGTTAAAGATGGTTTGTAGCTGCCATGTGGGTACTGGAATCGAACCTGGGTCCTCTGCAAGAGCAGTCAGTGCACTTAACCACTGAGCCATCTCTCCAGCCCCTTCTTCCCCTTTTTGATTGTAAAATAGCTAGTTCCCCCCCATCTGTGCTTCCAAAATGATGTCCTTTCTCATGGCACTTAATACATTGGAGCTTTTTGAGGGCAAATATTTTGTTTTATCTTCATATAGCCGCCTATGGATACTAATTCTTTGGTCAATTTTTAAAACTTATTTTTATTTATATGTGTATGAATGTTTTGCTGGCATGTATGTAAATGCATTACATGTATGTAGTATCCATGAAGGCCAGAAGAGGACATCAGATCCCCTGGAACTGGAGTTAAGGAGGGTTGCTAGTCACCATGTGGGTGCTGGGAACCAAATCCACTTCCTCTGCAAGCACAGACAGTGCTCTTAACCAATGAATCATCTCTCTGGCTCCTCAATGCTAATTAAAAAAAAAATGAATGACTGGGCTTCGTGGCACATGCCTTTAATCCCAGCACTTGGGAGGCAGAGGCAGACAGATCTCTGTGAGTACAAGGCCAGCCTGGTCTACGTAGTGAGTTCCAGGTCAGCTGGGGCTACAGGGAGACCTGTCTCAAAAAAAGGGCCAAAAAAAAAAAAAAAAAAAAGAACTGGTTGGTGATAGCCCCCTTCATACCTGCCCTTTCCGATTTGTGATTTGTGCATGCTAATGCACAGAGGTAAATAGGGCTCTTTTTCTTGTCTTCAGAATATGAAAGTTTGAGGCATATACTCTGAAGAAACAAATCCATTTAACTCAATTTCATGTCATTTATTGGCTATCTTTTCAGGGCACCAAATGCAATGACACAAATAATATTTTGCTCACAGACCCAGTGTTACTGGCCCAATTCATCAGCTTTTAAAAAACATTTTCCAGGGCTGGAGAGACGGCTCAGCAGTTAAGCACACTGATTGTTCTTGAATCCCAGCACCCACATGGCAACTAACAACTGTCCATAACAGTTCCAGGAGATCTGACGGCCTCTTCTCTCCTCTGCCGGCATTGCACGACACCGGTGCACTTACCTACATGCAGGCAATACACGCATACCCTAGTAAATAAAATATTAAAAAAAAATTCTGGAATAGAGGTCAGGAACATGGTCTTTGACTTCCAAGAGTCTGGATTCCAACGTTGCCACTTACTGACTTGAACTTTTGGCTTTAGCATACCTAGAAAATGGGACTATTTTATACAGATCACAGTTTTATGAGAATTCAGTGAGATAATATATGGACAGCACCTGGCACATGGAAAAGTAGTTCAATAAACGGTAGTTGGCTTTTAGGCTTAATGTTTCTCAGAACCCAAGGGAGGCTGCAGTTACTAAAGGGGTGGTTTTCTGGCCCGGGATGATAATGGCGACACCTATGATATGGGCCCCAGAATCGCCTAGGTCGCATTCTTTTCCTTTGGCCCCTTCTTTTACTTGCCTTTCGGCCCAGTTCCGGGGTCTGCAGCCTGGTGGTGACCCTCTTCTCCCACCTTGGTCTCACTGAAAGGCTGAGGTTGTTAAAGTGACTGGGGGAACCTTGTGTGGGCGGAACTCGAGTGCAGCGGTGGGAAGGTTCCGGGGGAACAGCACTAGTGACGGGTCGGCGGAGACAGAAAAGCGCCGGACGCCGGGCCGGTCATGGACGCTTGACAACCTGCAGGCAGGCTCCGGGAGGCCGAGCCCCCGACAAAGAGGACAGAAAGTCCGCGCTCACAGGTAGGGGACGGCGAGAGGGCAGGCCACGCTGGGGCCGACGCACCTGTCTAGGCTGGACCTCGGGATTCGCGCCTGCAGCCTGGAAAGGCGCCGACCACGCCGCCCCGCCCCCGCCCTAGGGAGCGCGCCGGGCGGCCCCTCACCCCAAGCCACCGGCCAGGAGCAAGTCCTGGGCCTTGAGGTCCGCCCCAGCTTGCGACTCTCACCTTCCGGGTGGTGGCTGTACTCGCCAAGCCCCTTTCCGCAGCGGATGCCCCCTTTCACCGTCTCTGGTCCATCCAATAGCGCCTCCGCTGATGGCATTTCACCTCCACTGGGTCCCCATCCGCCTCAGCAGGGAGCCTCCCACTCCAGATGAAAACGATTCTCACCTTCCCACACTCTGCTCCCACGTGCTCTGCCTTTGAGGCTGAGATATTTGGGAGGGACCGAAGTTTCTCCTCATCCCCACCTCCTTTCCACCCATCTCCTTCAATTTAGTCTCGGGGCTGAGAGCCCCATCTGACTCTTGGGGTGTGTCCACTTGGTTTTGTTTAACCAGGTCACCTGTCTTCCTCTTCTCCCCTTCCTCGCCCCTCTCTTCTCACTTCCCTTTCTCCGCTTTCCTCTTTCCTCAGAACCCTCTGTTCCCTAGTCCTTCACTTTATTGTTTCTGATAGACAGGACCTTAGGTAATCAACCCTAAGTGAGACAACATACTTTTTTCCTAATACCCTGAAAGGGTCGTGCCTAACCCCAGGGGAAAACTTAGTTTCTCTTGTACCAAACTATTCTTTGAACTGTTCTTTGCTTCACTCTATTATATGTACACTTCTTTTTTCCCCATTTTGTCACATTCTCAAATGTGTATCATTTGAGGAGACAGGTCTTAAGTGGGACTCCTGTAGAATCCATCCATGTTCAACATATGGTACACAATTGAGGAACCCTTCTGTACCTGTCTTGATGGCAATACAATATTTTTAAATTCTGTTAAGATTTTGTTTTTTGTTGTGGTCTTTTTGAGATAGGGTCTCCCTATAGCCACAGCTGGCCTGGAACTCGGCTATGGAGACCAGGCTGGCCTGGATTGCACCGAGAGCCACCTGCCTCGCACCAAGAGCCACCTGCCTCTGCCTCCCATGTGCTAGGATTAAAGGCGAGCATCACTGTGCCCAGCTTGTTATTAAGATTTTGTACAAATTCTGATATCATGTTTGGTAAAATACCATGTATCAATAGGAGGCCAAATAGAGAGATTTCCCTGTAGACTTGAAAAACATATTTTCATAGTTTGAATTGTTGTTTATTTTCATAACTGTTTTCCATCTTTTCTCATGCTTAAATGACATTTGGTTTTCTTGCATTGCTGAGGTAGTAACCTAGGGTCTTGAGTATACTAAATACCATTTTACTATGGAGCCTTAAATGGGGTTTTGATTAAATGAAGTGTTTCTGATCTGTGTCTGGCTGTAGATTAGAGTCTAATGACAAAATAGTCTGTGCGTATGGGAATGTTCTTTCTTAACTAGAGCCTATAGATGAGATAGATAAAAAACATATGAGGAAACTCCTATGTGTTTCTTTAAATCCTGGTCAGCTTTAAGGACTTAGAAGGTGATGTTTCTATGAGAACAGACAGGAAGTATCTTTTAGAAGGTGTGTTTCAGAAAAACTTCAGAATTGAGGGCAAAATCCCTCTAATTCTAGGCTGGATTCTGCCCATCTCACAAAGTGGTCATTGTATCTAGATTCAGAAACTGTCTTACGAACACTGTAAAATTAAAGCATTCTGTTGTCTGATCCAGCATTAAATACAGACTTTGGAAAGAAGGCAGAATGACTTACCCACTTTTCCTTTTGAACAGATTTCAAAGCCAGAGAATGGCAGGTGAACAGAAACCCTCAAGTAACCTTCTGGAGCAGTTTATTTTATTAGCCAAAGGTACCAGTGGCTCAGCCCTCACCACTCTCATAGGCCAGGTGCTGGAGGCTCCCGGAGTATATGTGTTTGGAGAATTGCTGGAGCTGGCCAATGTTCAGGAGGTGAGTGGTTTCCAAACAGTTTCTCTAGCTTTGTGCAAAGCCTTTCTGATTCTCCAGGTTTCCAGGGAATTTCACTGCTGAAGTACTGTGGACCTGTGAGGGACCCTGTTAATGGAGAGATGGGAATTGAGTGTGGGGGGAAGAGGTCAAGGATGATGACTTAGGCTCCTTTTGTTCAGTATTCCCTCTGACCTTGGGTAAAATTAGATTTTGTTGTTAGTTGTGTGAAAGGTAGTAAAAAAGTCCAAATGATCTGGTACAAAGTAGTGTTATAAATGCTGGATTGTTGTAGTTTTTGGTCATTATACCTTAAAAATTAGAAGATTTGTTGAGGAATAACTAGGTGGACCAGAGAGATATAAAGCAATTTATGCTTCTCAACCTCTACTTCTCACTGTAGATACATGTTTTATTTGTTTATTTGAGAAAAGTGTAATAAGCATCTTCATGACTTCAGAGGGGAGTTCTCAGGGATTGTGACGTGTTGGTGGGGCTCCCTTTGCCATCATGGGCTTCTGCTGTCAGGATGGTGCTGTCTGTATGAATGGCCACTGTAGACAGTTCTAGGCAGAGGTACATTTTATTCATTTACTGTGCTGCTGAGAATGGCCCTGGTGTCCTTGGTGATGATCTGTATGTAGGTGTTGGCTGGCTCACCTTCATAGCTACCATGCTACCTTTGCTGTCTACTGCCTACTTCACTCCCATAGTTCATTCCCTGAGCTCTGGGCCTTCAGGTTATTGGACTCAATGCTATGTCTATTTATTTCTGTGAATCAGGAAGCTAGAGCAGTTCCCTGTGACCCTCCCACACATGCTCTTCATCCTCTCATGGCCAGAGGTAGGAAGAGAGACACTTTTTTTTTTTTTGAGACAGAGTTTTCCTGTAGCCCCAGCTGGCTTGGAACTCACTGTGTAGACCAGGGTGGCCTCAAAGTCACAGAGATCCGCCTGCCTCTGCCTCCAGAGTGCTGGGATTAAAGGCGTGCACCACCATGCCGGGCATGAGACCCATTTTTATTATTATTATTTATTTAATTTTATTTTTTGAGACAGGGTCTTTTTAAAAATACTTTATTTATTATTTTTATTTTATGTGTATGCGTGTATTGCCTGTATGTAGCTAAGTGCACCCATGTCATGCAATACCCATGGAGGACAGAAGAGGCTGCCAGATCCCCTGGAACTGGAGCATGGACAGTTGTGAGTTGCCATATGGCTACTGGGATTCGAACCTGGGTCTTCTGCAAGAACAGCCAGTGTTCTTAACCGCTGAGCCATCTCTCCAGCCCCTTGAGACAGGATCTTATGTATCCTAGCCTGGCCTTGAACTTACTGTGTAGTTGAGGTTGAATTTTTGATCCTCTTGCCTCCCTATCCTAAGTTCTGAGGTTACATGCATGTACTACCACACCTAGTTTTATGTGATTGAACCTAGGGCTTCCTCCATGTATGCTAGGAAAATACTGTACCAATTGAGCTCCACTTTTGGCCTCACTTTTTTTTCTTTGTGACATGGTCTTACTGTGTAGCCCTAGCTGGCCTGAAACTCTCTATGTAGACCAGGCTGGCCTCAAACTCACAGAGATCCACTTGCCTCTGCCTCTAAAGTGCTGGGAATAATGGCGTGTGCCCCAGGTATTTAGTGCCTGTCTTTGTTACACTAAGGTCTGTGAGGGTCAGCTCTCCTGGGCTCACCATAGTTTCCTTGCAGCTGAGTAAGTAGCCTGACTCATAGTAGGCTTTCTGTAAAAGTTCACTTTACTGTAGATGGATAATAAACAGTTCTTTGAGGAAGATTTGAGAGCTAGAGGTTTTTCTTGTTTTTTATTTTTTTTTTGAAAAAAAAAAAGATTAGCCCAGGCTGATCTTGAACTTCCTGTTCCTTCTGTCTCTACCTTCTATGTACTGGGGTTACAGGTGTGTGTCACTGTGCCTGGCTAGGCTAATTTTCCAACAGAAAAGCTAATTGTAATGTTTCTTCAGATTTATGAAAAGCCTGAATGAATATGCCAAGTACTTGTTTTTGTGATTGCCGAAAATGGGCTAAGAGGGAATAGATGATAAATAATCTGGCAAAACCTTATTGATTTAGGCCCATGAGAGAAGTTTTGGAGTATCCGCTGTAGAGAGAATAGTCCATTCCAGTTAGCTTTATAAATGTCTGTGGGAAAGGTGAGGGCAAGATTCAGTGATCTTTACCAAATCTCTTCCACTCTGATTCAGGGGCTTCAAGAAGTTCCTGGTAACTTGAGAATGTCGATGGAAGTATTCTTGTGTTGGTGCTTAGCAGTGCTTAACAAAGCAAATCACCTTCATCTCCCTACAGTTTTCCTTTCTTTTCTTTTTTCTTTGTTTTTCTTTTTTTGGTCTTTTTGAGACTGGGTCTCCCTGTAGCCCCAGCTGGCCTAGAACTCACTATGAGGACCAGGCTGGCCTTGAACTCACAGAGATTGCCTGCCGCTGCCTCCCGAGTGCTGGGACTAAAGGTGTGTGCCTGGCTGTGTTTTTCATTTTTTGAGCCTGGAATAGGCTAGGTGCTTTTCAGTGGTCTGAAATTATGGATGTAGTTAGTGGAACTTTTTATTTTCGATAAAGTTGAATAGTATTGTTACTTATTTTGACCTTATGAAGTTTAGTAAGTTGAAGAAGTGTTTTTGTTGTGTTTTTTTGGGTGTGTATGTGTGTTACTGGGGATTGAATCCAGGACCTTGTACATGCTGAGTAGATGCTCTGCCCCTGAACTATGTCCTAATCTTTATTTTGAGACAGTGTTTTGCTAAGTTTCCTAGGTTATTTATTTTTTAAGGACTTATTTGTGCTAAGCATTGTGATGCATGCATAAATCCTTTAATCCCAGTGCTTGGGAAGTAGAGGCAAGCAGATCTCTCTGAATCCAAGGCCAGCCTGGTTTACTTATTGAATTCTAGGCCAGCCAAGGCTACATGGTGAGATCCTGTCTCACATTTCTTTATATTTATGTGTATGAGTGTTTTGCCTGCATGTATATAAGTGCACCATGTGCATGAGTACCCACAGGGGCCAGAAGACAACATCAGATCCTCTGGAATTGGAGTTACAGATAATCATTAGCCACCATGTAGGGGCTGGGAATCAAACCCGGGTCTTCTACAAGAGCACTCAGTGCTCTTAACTGCTGAGCCATCTCCCTAGTTCCCCCATGAAAATTTTTATTTGGGGCAAGCTGGTATTCTGTTCCAGTATGGCTTTTCTGCCATACCTTATACTGTGCTAATATTTCTGGGGCTCACAGTTCATATATAGTTCTGAAACATGGAACTAGCCATGAATTCTGTTCAGTTTGGATTAGTAGTGGGTATTGACATACCAAGTTGGGGGGTGGCAAGATAGCTCAGTGAGTAAAGGCATTTGCCACACAAGCCCAATGATCTTGGGTTACTCTTCCACAAAGCTGTCCTCTGACTGCCACATGTGCACTGCACATGTAACCCCACATACACATCATGCACACACAATAATGAATAAAAAAAAAAAACAACCCAAAACATTGAGTTGGTATGTAACCAAGATCACTGCATTTTTTGGATTTTGTTAATTGTTTTGAGACAGGGTCTTATTTTCAGGTAACCCAGGCTGACTTTGAATTTACTGTGTAACTGCTGCTGATGTTGAACTCCTGATCCTCTGCCTCCACCAGGAATTACAGGCTTGAGCCATCATGCTCACTTTATATAGTGCTGGGGATTGAACCCAAGGCCTTGTGTAGTCCATGCAAACAAACTTTACCAGTTGTGCTACATTCTTAGCCAACAGTTTTTTGTTTTTTGTTTTTCCTTTTAGACAAAGTCTCAGTATGTAGCACTGACTGGTCTAGGAACTCACAGAGATCCTCCTTCCTCTGCCTCCCAAATGCTGGGATTAAAGGCATTTGCTACCACACCTGGCCAGTATTTGCTTTAGGCAAGGGAATCTTCAGAAAACTTAAACTGCTTCTAGTGCATAAATCTCTGTGGTAGGGTGGGAGACAGAGAGAGGAAGGGAGGGAAGGGAAAGAAGGGAGGAGAGAGCATGTTAGGTGTGGAGTAAAATGTCTTTCCGAGGGAGGAAGAAAGATTCAGTTTGGGAATGATCTCCTTTAGTTTTTTTTCCCAAGAACCAGAATTTGAAAGGACCTCAGGGGCCACCTAATCAAACAATACAGAATAAATGGCCATAGCGTCTTTGGTACCTGGTTACCTCCATTAGAGTATTGTAGTAGTTGGTGGAAGTTTGATGCGTGGTGAATTTTGTTTTTCCTCCTCAGCTTGCAGAAGGAGCTAATGCTGCATATTTACAGTTGCTGAACCTGTTTGCCTATGGAACATACCCAGATTACATAGGTGAGTTGGTTACGATTCTTCAGAAGACTTGTCCTAACTACATGGAGCTAGCTTTTTGCAGGATGGTTCAAGTTAAGAGATATAAGGTATGGGTGTGGGCGGAACAGGGAAGGACTAATTACTGATCTATTTTATTTTTCCTGTGCCCTGGAGGTTACTCCACAAAATGATTTCCCTTATTGCTTTTTAATTTCCTAGGGTGTAAAATGGCGGTTCTGTGTATATTCACCTGTAAACAAAGCCTTTTAAAAAATTCTCAGATGTGATTCTTATTTATATATTTTATATGTATTGGTGTTTTGCCTGCATGTATATAAGTGCATCATTTTGGCAAACCTGTGGAGGCCAAAAGAGGGCATCGGATCCCTTGGAACTGGAGTTACAGGCTATTGTTAGCCACCATGTAGTGCTGGGAACCAAACCCAGGTCCTCTGGAAGAGCAGCTGGTGCTCTTAATTGCTGAGCCATCTCTCCAGTCCCTCAGATGAAAGTCTTGAGAGCTAGTGTTTGTAGGGTTCTCAACTATCAAAATATTTTAATGTTTTAAATGTTAATCAAAAAATTTTTTTGGACTGGCAACATGGCTTAGAGGGTAAAGGTATGTGCCCGCAAACCTAACAACTTGAGTTCAGTACCTGGCACCCACATGGAGGAAGGAGAGAACTGACTCCTTCAAGTTGTGCTCTGACCTCCACATGTGCCTATACACACAGACGCAAAATAAATAAAAGTTTAGGAATGGTTTTAATTCTTGTTTTGTTTTGAGATAGGGTCTCTGTGGGTTTCCCAGGCCAGTTTTGAACTCAAAAAATCCTCCTGCTCTAGTCTCCTGAGTGATGAGATCATAGAGATGAGTCACCATGCCCAACTTACGTGTTATTAAAATAATATTACCATATTGAAGAGAATTTGAAAAACACATAAAACCATTATTTGTAGACCATGAAGTTACTATTAGCATCATGATGCTGGGTGTTTTTCTCCCTTGTGCATGGTCGTGTGTTATATAGGTATACTTAGATTGTGTATGCAGTTTCATACCTTGCCTTTCTCAAGCCTTTGTCCATATCTCTATTTTAATTCTTTTCTTTTTTTCGAGTCAGAGTCTTGCTATGTTACTCAGGCTGGCTTCAAACTCTGGAACCTCTTGCTTCAAACTCCCAAGTTTTTTATATTACAGGTGTGTGCCATCATGCCTGTTTACTATTTCATAATAAACCACTATGCCACTTAGCTTCATTTGCAGCCCATTTGAATTGTTTTAAACTAGAATCTTAAATCAGGGATGGGCTGGCAAGATGGCTCAGTAAAGGTAGAACACTTGCTGCAGAAATCTGATGGTTTAAGTTTGATTCCTGGAACCCATGCTGGAAGGAAAGAACTGATTCCTAAAAGTTATCCTTTGACCTCCACATACTTGGAGTAGCATGAGTGCACTCACCCACACATACACCATACACACCTGTATAGTAGTAAATAAAATATTTAAAAATTTAAATATCATGAGGGCCGGAGAGATGGCTCAACGGTTAAGAACACTGCTTGCATAAGACCCGGGTTTGAATCCCAGCACCCGTATGGTGGCTAACAGCTGTCCATAACTTCAGTTCCAGGGGATCTGACAGCCTCTTCTGTGCTCCACGGGCATTGCACGACTCCAGTGCACTTATCTACATGCAGGCATAACACTCATACACATAAAATAAAAATAATAAATAAAATATTTAAAAAA